CACACACACACTGGTCATAATTACATATATTTTAGCTGAAGGTTATCTGCAGAGGTACTGCATGTTTAAAGTCTCAAAAGGGTATCTGTGAAGGAGGCTTTTTTTTTTGTCTTGGCCCTCTTTTTATTCCCCTCAGTGCTTTTAAATAAGCACCATCTCAAAGACAAGAATGCCAGAGTTGACCTTCTTTCACAGTTGAGATGTTATTGTTGATTACTATAATTTAAGTTTAACTCAAAATTGCAGTGGGTAGATGGTGAGGCTGAGGCAGGCACRTACACATGCACACACTCACAGGTGCACACATTAAAAATGAATCATAAGCTCTTTTTTCATGAGCGGAGTGGAGTTATTAAGATAAAAACAATGGTACAGTGGCCACATCCTGTTCACTACAGAAGAGAGTGTTAAAGCTCACATACTATAACCCCCCAGCTCATGCACACACAACAAACATTCATGCAGAGGCGAGGGATGACACCTTTCTCCACACATTTTTCTCACACATCTAAGCTTCTAATTTGAGAGTCCCTAAGCTCCAAATGTGAATCACATTTTAGAAGTTGCGATAAAGAACAAGTAAGGTTTAGTTCAGCAATTTTGTTGATTTCTAAAGTAATCAGAAACTAAGTTTCTTATAAAAATTTTGTTATATATGCACATGTTGTATCATTTTATATTTTTCTTCTTTTTGCCTTGCATATCATGGTAGCAATTAGCTACAGTTTGAGATCATAGAACACACAAAGCACTTCAACAACAAACTTTCAGAAATGACAGCAGCAGACTGACCAATAAACATTAACAAAGTCTATGTATCTGACTGGGCTGATGGTGTGATAAACTTGTACATAGGTCACACATCCAGTAATGTATAGTTGGGATTTTTTATTTGTGTGTTTTCTTAAACTGTTTTTTTTTTCTTTCTTTTTTTGTCATTGCTTTATCTCTAAAGGAAGCAAGACTTACATTAGTCATCCCAATACTTTGATACCATTTGGATAATTCTACTGGTTTCATTTTCAGTCTTTTTTTAATGTTCCTGTTGTCTGCAGTTAAACTGTCTTTGAAGTTGTTGAAATGCCACAAACTGTACCCATCAGATTTGAGGTGCTCAAGTCAAAAGAGACAGGGAAAAAGGGAGGAAGAGTGGGGTGGAGGTGGTAGTGGATGGGGTGGAGGAGTGGGGGTGGAAGAGGGAGAGATATGGAGAGAAAACTTCCAGCATTAAAATTCAGAAGATAATTACATCCGCTACACCCCCACCCTGTTGAGAAAGTGTTATGTTTAATAGTCTCTATAAAGAAAATAGGTTTTTATCTCACTCTCATTTTCATTAATTCCTAATTGGGGTGGGGGGTTGTCTGTTATTATTTCTTAGATTAAAATAAACATAGCCTGTCCCATGTTCAAACCCATCACACTACACAGGCATGATAAGGACTTCATGCCTCTGTGAATAAATAAACAATTTCATCTCTACTGGTGGAATTAAGTTGCTTACCGCCTAAAGCTAAGACACTCTGATTTATATTTATATATATTTATATTTATTTATCAAAGACTTAAGAGCACATCCCCGCTTTTGCAAATGAAGTTCACAATTTTTTTGACCTGCTTTATATGTATATCTTTAATTAGAGTCTTGTTTAGCTTAAACCGAATGATTATCGCATATTCGTGACCTAATTACTGCACACGATTCTTAATGCCAGTGTTGTGCCCTAAGGAGCAACCAAAAGTTACCTTTAAAAACTAGTGTAATCATTAGCAATGAGCCACCCTTAATCCCACTAAACATACACTTATCTAGCCCCGGCTGGTCTGTGTTTGCTGGGGGTGGGGGTCTGTCTGTCTTTATTGTGTTTATTAGAGACAATTATTAATCACTGTGGTTAAAACAAGTTTGTCCCCATGGTCTCAGTCTTTACTGTCTTTACTCAAGTTCCACAGGGATCTTGACAGCAAACCTAAAAATAAGGATGCCATTGTAAAACTGTTTTTTTTCTTGAGCTGCACATTCTAGAGTCATCCACAGCTCTGTGAGAATTGGGAAAAATGCAGTACAGCTTTACTAAATGATGTACTAATACATCTACAAGCCTATGAATGTAAGTGATTTTTTGTGAACGCAATGCAAATAGCCAATAATTACTAACATAATAAATTTATGTTATGTATGTCAGAAGAAAAATAAAATGTACTGACAAAAAATGCAAATGTTTACAATTAATGTAATAATTTGGTCTCTTACCTGAAGATGGTGAGGAGGGATGTGGGCTGTCGTCTTGGATGCTCCCTGTCTGGGAGTGTCCTCCCCCGGCACCACTCTCTTCTGTCACATTGGATGAACCAGGGGTGGTTGAGCGGCTGATTGACTGGGACTCAGGATCGCTGGCAGAACCACGGCGTTCATCTAGTCCTTGCTGATTTGCTTCATCAGTGCCTCTTCTGTCTTTACCATGTATTCGGGAATGAACAATCATTTGATGGTATGTTCTAAAGATGCGGCCACAGTCGGGGCACTCTGAAGGCTTGTCCTTCAGGCTTGACAGACTGGAAAGGCTGTAGTCAATGTTGGAGCTTCCTAAGCCTGCCAAAGCTCCAGGGGTCTCAGCACCACCATGATGTGACACTAGATCACGATGAGTTTCAAAACCTCTTCCATCCTCTTTCATTGGTATTATGACTCCACTAGAGGCCTTAGATACTTGTAAGCCTTCAGAGAGCTGTTTCTGCTTGGAACTATCACTGCCAGGGATCAAGGGGTAGTCTTGTTTGTCTTTTGAATAGGAAGCCAAGGCTCCTGCACCACTCATCTCATCTTCCTGCCCTGGAGTTATATGGGGCTGGTGCTGTTGTTGTTCTTTGGGCATGAAAGCCCTGTCCATAGCCATTCCACGTGCCATTATCTGCCAGGCTTGGTAACTGTTAAGAGAGTCCATTTCTGCCACTTTTGCAGCAGCCTGGAGGCGCTCCATGCAGCTGGATTTGAGGGGTGGTACAAGATTGAGACAACCAAGGAGTGAGCGCTTTTCATTTTCACCCAGCCCATGACCCATACTTCCAGCCATTGGTCCTAACAGTTTTCCTAACATCTCCTTTTCTTTCATGACAATCCCTGCTTTAGCCAACATCTGGTGCTGCTCGTTCAGGCCTTGTTTGTCTGGGGAAAGAAAACCTCCTTGAAGACAGGAGATATATCGAGAATACAGGTTGGCATGAGCTTCTTGAGCAAGACTGCTCATGCTATTGATGGCAGCCAGGTCCTGCTCACTAGGCTGGGGTGGCTTGCTCTTAATAGCAAGCTTGTTCAGATGTACCTTCATATGATTCTTCAGGAACCAGGGTTCCTTGAAGCGACGACCACAGATTTGGCAGCAGTGTTCAAAGGAGTCTTTGTGCTTTCGCATGTGACCCTTAAGGAACCAAGCTTGGCTGAATACCTGGCCACACACGTCACAGCGGAATTCAGTAGCAGGCTGCATGCCCCCAGATCCGCCACCACCCTGTCCCTGTGTCGTTTCAGCTGTGATGTGGGCCTTCTCAACATGACTTATCAGATCCTCTTCATGGGAGGCAGCAAATTCACACAGAGTACATTTGTAGGGCTTGTGAAGAATACGAATGTGGCGATCCAGTTCTTCACGCTTCTTGAACTTCCCTTTGCAAAATGTACAGCGGAAACCTGTCGCTGGGTTCAGGGACGGTTCATCTTGACTGGCTGACTTTGGTGAAGAAGAGGGCTGAGAAAGAGTTTCTGGAGTTGCAAGGCCAGATGGGGGTGGGGGTGCACAGGCTGACCCTATTAGCTGATTATGAGTGTTAGAGCTGTTGTTGAGAACAAGATGGGGTGTCTGAGGTGTCTGGAGGAGACTTCCACTCCCTCTCATCTGCTTGTCCCGCAGTATGGCTCTCTCTTCAAGCTCATGTAGCAGCCTGTTTTCCTCTCGAACACGGCCCCTGCCCTTACCGAGATTCCCAAGCTTGTGGGTGCGGAGATGGATCTTCAAGTTACCCTTCTGAGCTGCTCTATGGTCACAGTAGGGACACTTGAATGGCTTCTCTCCTGTGTGGGTGCGCATGTGCAGTGACAGGATGCTGTTAAAGCGGAAGCGTTTGCCACACAATGGACAGGGGTACTTCCTATTCTTGCGAGCATCATCTTCAATGTCATTCATTTGGGACATGATGCCCAAGTTCTGACCATTGAGAAACTGCTGAAGGTCAACACGGCCATTCAGCCCACTTAGTGCCCCTGCATCAATATCTCGGTTGAGCTGATTGGCTAGTAGGGCCATCTGACTGCTAATAGGTTGACTGGCCAGGGCTGCGTGGTGTGTCTTCTCATCCAAAGGTGTGGCTGCCTTCTCTTCAGGTATCTGTTGAGGGCGGTGTAAGTCAGGAAAGGCGTGTCCTAGCTGAGCAGTAAGCTGGTGAAGCTTCTGACTGATGGGGTACCGCCCATTTAACACTGCACTGCTGAGATGGGCATCAGTGTCTGGCACCGCTGATGACACACCAAGACATAAACTCGAGTCATCCATCCTGTGAATAGAAATAAAAAGAAAATTAATTCAATTATTTTTTTTAGAAAATGTTAAAATAATTGCAAAAACACATCATGCAATGTATTTAAAACATACATTATCATAGCTGGTTGTGGTTATCAAACCATATGTTTAAGATAAATGTCTACTTGAGGTAGTAAGCCAGTATTGTGTCACACTGCAAATGCAATGCAAAGTATTTGATGCAATGATCAGTGTGTAAATTCTCAACACAAAAGCTTTAATGACTGCTGCGTCACCTACCTTTTCTTTTATTTCAAAATGTAAAACCATATTGGTTAGAATAATTACTTTGTAAACACAGTGAGCAGTGTATAATTAATCTACTTGGGCCCATCCTATCAGAATTTCTTCAATTACACGCCTTAATGAAATAGAGCAACTTCCTTGTTGAGAAGCCACCTCAATGCTACAATTATGGTATCACAGTAGCACTTAAAGTCAGAGTTACTCTAGTGTACAACATTCTTATCTTGGCGTCATGACACTTGTCATGGCATAATAATCCATTTACCGGCAATACTACATTTGATGTGAATCTTTAGGCTCCCAATGAGTGTTTCTGTTTGCACAATGACTGTCTTTTTTCTCTACCACATGGTTTTACATTCAGTTTTCAAGAACAGTAAAAGAAAAAAAGTTGACAATACTACACAGCCTATTGACACATCTAAAAATGCACCAAACTATATAGAATTAAACTATATAGAATAAAAAATAAAATAAAATAACTTGAATAAGAGCATACGGTAAAGTTTAAGTGGATTTAGACAATAGCTGAAATTTTATTCATGTGTTGGTTTATTGGTGGGACTACTCAAAATGTTGTGGAA